CGAGCTCTAAGTAGGGAGCTCGGGCCTCTTGCTAGGGAGTTCGAGCTCTAAGTAGGGAGCTCGGGCCTGCTGGTCCCTTCCCTTTGGCGTTTGTACCCTCAATACGCTGTCTTGAGTTCCGAGCTGCTTGCCTTTTTTGCCACGTGCCGTGATTTGCGAGGTCGGGCCAAATCTTCCTTCATCAATATCATAGTCGAACCCATTAATTGCCCATTGATTTATTTTGAGTAAAAATAAAAGTATGCCCGTGAATTGGTGAACTGCTGTGAACGTGCCCAACCAAGAAAGTCTCTCATCAGGAAAGGCCTTTGGCCCCCAACAGCCAAAGTTATAGCCAATTGAGGAAATGATTAACCGATATCACAGTTTCATAACATTGATTGTTTTTTACATTCTCATCCCGCAAACGATGCTAATTTTAGTGAAGTAGGTTCACTAAGAGGTTGTTTGGCACCGGAGCATTTCATAGTGAATCGTTTAATTGGATTTACAGTTTCACCTGTTTTTTTGAAAAATAAAAAAAGGGATATAGGCTGATTGGAATTTTAAAGTAATTTAGCATAATATTAAAATATATTTATAATGACAACTGTGTGACATCTCAAAAAGGGTTAGTTTTTTTCTTTTTTTTTATATTTCATTGTGCCATGTCACCAGGGTGATTCAGAATCACCCAGACAATTCAAAAAACGCCAATTTGATGTTTCAAGAAACCACTCCTTTCCCGAATTCCAATAGTAATTATTACAGAAATGTTTTTTTTTTTGAAAACACCCTTGCCAAATAAGATTTTTTTTTGCGGATTCCGTTTTTTTTTGCTGATGTGGTACGCATAACACATCAGCAGAAATGAAACACACACACTGGTGCCAAACGTATAGTAAAGCGACATGTTTAATTTTGTAGAAACGAAAAGGTTAATGAAGAAAAGACAATGATAAATGGATTGGATCATGATCCGATCTGATATGAGATCCAATCTAATATATATATATATATTTATTTATTTATTTATTTAAAATATATTATTTATATACTTTTATAAATTTGTTATATTATTTATTTTTTATAAAAACACATATATATACGATGAAAATAATTAAAAAATACTTATATTTTTTGTTTTTTCTTTATTTAAATTGGTATATTTTATTTTTTAATAATTTATTAATTTTTAAAGTAAACAAATTGGATAAGATCAGATCCGAAGATCTGACTTACTAATAGGATTTGAATTCAAATCGAGGCCTATTAGATCTGATCATATCTTTGGATCAGATCGGATCCGATATAAACAATGTCGGATCGAATTCGAATATACCTTAATTTGAATTCGATCTGATCCATTTGCATCCCTGTTTGCACTCAGTGGTCAAATTAGTGTGATCATTTTTGTATTTTTGGTAACTATTGAAATGTGTTCTAAGGAGTTGAATGTGTCTAGCTTGGAATACTATTTTTCATTAAAAGAAAAAAAACAGCTTGCAATATTATAAATGGGCTCCTTGCAGATAGGGGCAACTTTTTGCCCTTAATATCAATAAAAAATAATATTTTTTATATAATAAGTAAAATAGGATAGCCTTTTTGAAAAATATCAAAAAAGTGCAGTGGATCGTCTTCCTCCTCTGCCTCTCCCTCTGTATTCATGCGAATGGATCCGCTTGGGCTGAATGAGGTTCACGCAAAAAAGACAAATAATTTACAAATTGTGCCGGAAAAGCACATTGCAGCAGCTGATGATTTTTTTTTTTTTTTCCGATTTGCAGGATATGACCAGGTACAGAAGCTTGGTCCGACAACATCTTGATCTTGAAACAGTGAGGTCGAGGTTGGAAGAAGGACGATACTTGGTTGCAGCTGAAAGTTCTTCCATGATCTTCTTCTCTTCTCTAGCAATGTGATTGTATTCTTCCCCAAGAACTCGTTCGAGTCCTCTGCCGCAACTACACTTCGAGACGTCGTCAGAAAGGAGATGGTGAATCCAGTACCGTCCAAAATCAAACCGCCGGATTCAATGCTTTTTAAACCAAAGCTTGCTGCTCCCTTGATTGCCTGCCGTAAGCGCAATTCAATCTCTGCCAAAACTTCCACTACGACAAGCGTAGATAGGAAAGGGGAGCAACGACTAGCTTCTTCGACAAGGTTTCCTCGGGAAACAAACTGCATAGCAGAGCGGTCCAGCGAAAAGGAGTGTTGGGCGCCTGTGCCGTCGAAGCGGGTGAGGGAATCTACGGAAACGGAAGCTGTGAGCTCCAGGCAAGCAAGGAAACGTGCGAGGAGGTGATGGCAATTTCTGACGATTGAAGTTTTTATTTTGTTGTTTTTTTTCACTTTCTGCCCCCTCCTGCGTCGGTTTGCTCTTTGGGACGTGAAAAAGCATTTTCAGTTATTACGTGGCCGGAAAAATGCAAAGGAGGAAGCCGAGTAACAAATTGCCCTTCCAAAAAAAACTATTCCATTTTAATTATTATATACAAATATTACTTTTTAGCTTTTTTTTTTTCCTCTTTAGTTTAAAAATCTTAAACTAAAGTCTATATATTAAAAGAACTTTTGAACAATCAAAACCATCCCCCGTGAAATACTTGGCTAGAGAGCTTTTTCTTCAAATACTTTTTTTTGTTAAATATTTTACTTCAAATACTTGACAATCTATTTTTTAAAGAAAACGTAAATAAAAAACTTGTGGATGCGCCACTCTCAAATAAAATAGTTCTTTATAGATATGTACCAACCCATTCTCAACAAAAAGTTTATTTATAGGCCCAAAGTATTGTTGGGGTAGGTGCTGGTTCCGAATTAATGCTAATTGATATTTTAAATGTCTATAACTCTGTATTAAAAATCAGAAATCTGCATTGAGCCTGTCTGTTAATACTTTTTAAACCCCACTCTCAAAAAAAAAAAACAAAAAATATGCTAATTTTAGACATGTACTACCTATTAAAAAATGCTCACTTCAAAAGACATGTGGCAATATTATAATATATAAAAACTTTCAATAGTGTGGGTTCCATTTTTAAATGAAATAGGTTCTGAATTGTAAAATCCTAGCTAGCATTGAAATAGCTAATTTACGATTGTTGCTGCTAAAGTAAAGCCTACAGAGTACAGAACAATTAACCCCATTAATTCCTTCCTATTGGTGGTGTATTCTTGTCTTTTGTTGTAATATAAGACATTCTTCATCAATATTCATTTTGATGGATTGTGTTTAAGCACATTAATAATGGATTGTGTTCAAGGAGCTGTGTTAAACTTGGATATTATGTACTCATCTTTGTTATAATATATATATATATATATATATATTTTTTTTTTTCCCATCAAAGGAAACTTCTTTTGCATATATCAGTTATTTATATCCAAATTGAAAACCATCAAGATGAGAATTGTGGAGCTTGGGACACCATGGTTCTGCAAATCACTTGCATTGGCACTCGAATTAATAAATTAATATATGCTGTATGCACCAATTTCAGGAATATATAAATACATTTCTCTACTCAAATATAAGCTGTATGCACCATTATTGATTTATTTTTAACTTTCTTTTTCATCTCTCTTTCTCTCTGCTAAGATGGATTTCACTAGCAAGTCGTCCCAACACTGCGAAACCCTAACCTTCCTCGAGGCAGATCATAAATCACCTCATATGTCCTCTGTTGCATGTTGCCAAGGATTCCTTTTTGTCTCACATTATCGTTTGGAAAGAAAGCCAAACAAAACTGAGATGGCTGAGATAGCCGTGCATTAACAAGAATCCCGGAATGTGAATCCAACTGGATGTCAGCACCTCCTCCAAAATGCAAAACGATGGACGGAACCATCACTGTCTCGTTCCTGCTGAAGTCATAGCATGCATCGAAAGGTCCTATTCCTGGTGCAGATGGATAGTGTGACATTGCTGCATTAAACACATTCCGAAGGGTTCGGTAGGCTAAAGGCGGTAGACGACTGATGACTGTGCCTGAGTCTATCACAGTTCCAGGATTCGAAAACGTTGAAGGTGGAATGGCCAGTCTCTGCCCATTGACGCTTATTCCTATTAATGGAACGAAATAGAAGTCTAAATTCCTAGGGTTTATTATCAACTGTGTGTACTTCACGGCAGAGGAGGTGGCGCCTGTCTGGTTGCCAAATGCCAAGAACCCATTTGAGTTTTCTGAGCGCGGCAGGCAATAAGAGAAAACTTTTCCAAATTTAGTTGCCGTCTGAGACACCAGAGAGATTGGTTGAGGCCCTAAACCAAGAAGCCCAGATGTGGAATCTTGTAAACTGACATTGTGGCCACACCCAAACTTAAAACCAGGGAAGACATCTGAGGGTGTTAGTCTGAGTGTTTCACGTACGAAGAGGCCGATGGAGAAGTCTCGATCAGTATACTGAGTTTCATAAACACAGGCGATGCTGCATCTTGGAGAGTAGTGTGTGGCGCTGTAGACTTGAGAACACTCTGCTGACCCACAGGCAACGTTGGAATAAGAGGATGATTGGGAAGGGAAGAAGATGGGTCCTCTGCAGTTAGGACATGGTTGGCATAGGATCCAAGTCAAGCTGCTTCCAGTGTCCATCGTCACCCAAAACTTTTTCTGAGGTGTGCCAATTCCGATATTGACAACGTAGTTTCTACTATCAAAAGGGCGACCGGAACTGGTTGGAATTTTTGCCTTGGAATCTCGGACTTGTTTGTTAATCATTGAATGAATAGAACGAACTCGGAGTTGGTCTTTGTGGAGGATTTCCTCCGGGCTAAGAGCTGTCTTCCCTAGTGGTGAACAGGGTCCATTCATGTCTACTAATTGCAGCCTTTTGTGATGGTCGAAACCTGAAATTGTGGAGATCAAACATCTTACATTAATTCTGATTCTGAGTATTCCTCTCTCCCCACAATAGAAATATAATAATGGGATGAACATATAGCCATACGGCATCTGCTTATGGTTCTTAATTGTTAAATTTCATACGTTGCATTTAATTCTTTTTAGAGGGAAGATTTAGAAATTAGAATCCATTGATCTTTATCGTCTCTTTGTTTTCTCTATTTTTTCTTTAACTTTTTGGTGCTGGGCAGACAATGAGCACGTGCCCGTTAAATTGAGGATATATTCCGCGATTGGGAGTGTTCATTAATGGGTTTTTTTTTTGTGCTTTTCAATGTTTTCAAAGGACCGGACTGGAAAACACCCATTTTACCCCAAAACCGTTATTTGGCCAAAAATCGTTGATTTGATCAGTAAATTGCTGATTCAGGCGGTCAAACTATCAAACCGTTTGACTTAGGAATGATTTTTGGCCGTTTTTTAATTTTTTAAAATTTTAATTTTTTGTTAAAATGGACCATCCATTCAGACCGGATGGTCAGACCGTTCAACCCGAGAACTGAACCCAGAGTCCGGTTTTAAAAACCTTGGTGCTTTTCATTTAGAGCAGCCAAAAGTCAATTAGAAAATTATTTGGCGAAAAAGCATGAAAAGGGCATTTTTTATTAAATTAAAGCCCATTTAGAAAAGCAGAAAAATGCTACTTTTAACTTTTTACATTTGTAAAAAGTTATTTTGAAAAAAAAAAAAAAAAACTAGTGACCAGCCAAATACTAAAAGAACACTTTTTCAAGTCTCTCTTAGAAAGTTAGAAGCCAATTAGGCCAAAAAATACTCAAACACGGCTATAGTATACAACATTCTTACATAATTTGGGGGATTAATTAGGGGTATCTCGCAGTCTATAAGTCACATTCCCCATGGGCTATTCGGGCGTTTTCACCAAACATAGCTTATGGGCTGTTCGGGCGGAGCCCACCCCATAAACCCAGAAGCCACTCCAATGCAGAGATGGGTTACTAATATATAGGAAAATTAAAACTGCAAGAATAAGAAAATCTATTTAATTAAGACGACGAGAATGGGAGAATAAATTGTTTGGGTTTCCCAAACATAGTACCTGAACAAGAAGAAAGGAAATTATTTTATACCTTTTGAGGATGATATACAATTTGTTGCTGGTAGCAACGAATCAACTGCAATCTCTACTGACTCCCCTCCATGGGCCTTGACTTTATACCAACAGCAAGAGAGAGGCAAAAGAACAGAAGAGAAGAGTACAAAGTTCAGGATGAAAGTATGGAGAATGGCCATGAGTCCAATCGTTCTTCTGTTGCTGAAGTTGTACTCGTAGTGCTTGTTGGGTGTTGTACTGCTATTTGTAAGGGTTATGTATGAGTTAATAAAAGTGTTTTTCCTTTTTTTTTTTAAAAAAAAAGGTATAAATAGGATCGAGACACATGAATACACTAGCGGAAATCTAATATCGTATACTTTTTATGGCAATATCTGTGATGAATAGCAACTGATTGGTTACAACTTTTTCAATTTTGCCAATCAATTTGAGACCCCATCTCCAGTGAATTTTATTGAATTCCAGCTGATTGGTTACCAAAAAGGTATTGAACCCAAAAATACTAATAACCAATGAACTGATATATATTCAGTGGTAATATTGCCTGTCATTCATCCAAGTTTACGTGGATACCCAAGTGGTTAAAGTTTTTCTTTTCCTTTATTAGTTAAATTTATATTTTTCTGGCATTATAAATTTACCCTTAATTAATAGGGCCTTAAAATGGATTAGATCATGATCCGATCTAATCCGATATATGTTATATATTTATTTATATAAATGTTATTTATATTATATATATATTGTTTATTTATTTATAAATATATTGTTTATATTTTATTTTAAAAAAAAGTTGTTATATTATTTAATTTTTTATAAAAATGTATATATATGATAAAAATAATTAAAAAATATTTGTATTTTTTTATTTTTTTCTTTATTTAAATTAGTATATTTTATTTTTCTTTTAATAATTTATTAATTTTAAAGAAGACAAGTCGAATCGGAACAGAAGCGAAAATCTGAATTTCCGATAGGATTTTAATTCAGATCAAGGCCTATCAAATCGCAGATCTTTGAATCTGCCACCCGATTCGTTGGCATCTCTCTAGAGTCATAGATTATAGTCGACCTTAAATAAGAGAGAGGGAGCTTTTAATAGGGCCTAAAAAACGGGTATTAATGGGCTTTAAAAAGGATCATAGCCCATAGGGCCGTTTTGAGTAGGGCAGCACCACACTTATAACCCCCAACGAACCAACTAAGTGACCAACATCTAGAGTTGGTTAAGAGTCTTGATCTACTGGTAACAAAAAATTTAGGCGCATCATAGGTTTGTGTCCGATCTGTCCAAAATACATGAGTAATATGAATTTTTGCACATAATAGCATAGAAGGGAAACTTTTGGGCCCTAATATCAGTAAAATTAATATTTTAAAAAAATAAAAAATAGGGTAATTTTTGAAAAATAATATCAATAAAGGGCAGAATCATTGTTCATTTTCTTCTTCTTGCAGTCTATTCACCAGCACCGCTGTTTGTTGTCGCCCGCCACTTCTAGCAATGCCTCTGCCTATCTCTGCCCTCCTTCTCCTCCACCTTCGGCAACATTGTCGGAGGTGGTCTGAGCAGAGGCGGCGGCGGTGGCACTGGTGGTTATTTTTCTGCCCAACGCCGCCACCTCCACCTCCGCCTCCGGAAATATTGCCTGAGGTGGGTGGAGACAGAGGCGACAGCGGCACTGGTGGGCGGAGGTGGTGGCTTGGGCAGAGAAACCACCAGCGCCACCTCCTCCCACCTTTGGCAACGTTGCTGAAAGCGGAGGCGGAGGTGTTGCCGGAGGCGGCGGCGGGCAGTGGTGAGCAGCGATGCTGATGAATAAACTGCAGGAGGAAGAAGATGAATAATGATTCTGCCCTTTATTGATATTATTTTTCAAAAGTTATTATATTTTTGAATTTTTTTTAAAAATATTACTTTTAGTGATATTAAGGTTCAAAAATTACCCTTATATACTATTATCCCTTTTTTTTAATTTTGAGTGTGGCACAAAACTCTGATGTTGTTTGTTACCAGCATATCCGCACCTATTTGTTAGGGTATTAATAAATATATTAGCAAGAGATTATATGGAGTTGAGGCCGCATTAATTAACATGGGTAAGAAGGGAATTTGAACTTAAAAACTGACATATTGAGCAATGTGGACATAAAATACATGTGGAAGGTCTCGAAAATTGGGCCGGCCATCACACTTGGGTTCACGTTAGGAATCTTAAAATAAGATTCAACCTGTATCAATCACATAATTATATTGATGTTTTCACAGGCAATATACATATATAACAATATCAGCGTTTCAAAGTTACTTTTTAATATATAAAGTACGATTATTTTGTACATGTAACAAAAGCGTTTTGGCCTAAATTTTGTTCCATTAATTATGGAGAGAGGAAGTTAAAGGCTCTGATCCTATTATTCAACGTTTTCGATGCGGATGGTTGGACCGTTCAGCCCGAAAATCGTTTAGGCAATTAATTCCGTTTCACTTTTGATTCATTTTTGGGTCAGAAAAACATTGATTTGGTCAAAGAACTACTAACTTGGATGATCGAACCTTGACTTATTTGACCCAACAGTGGTTTGCATTTTTATAGGATGAAAGAGATTGAGAGATGGGGAGAGATGGAGACTCAGATCTAAGATTAGATCCCAGAGAGAGAGAGAATAGAAATATTGCAGATTTGAGACTCAAATTTGAGATCTCAGAAAGATCTGAAGTTTCTGGCACTGCTGCTTCTGTTGCCGCCTCTGTTGTCATCGTTGACGCCATTGTTGTCGTTGCCAGTGAACGTCGGATGCTCTTCTTCCCCTTCCTTCTTCTTCCCTCTCCCTCCTTCTTCCATCCTTCATTTTTTTTTCCTTTTTCTTCTCTTTTTCTCTCTTTTTTTCTTTATCAGCCGACAATCACATCTCTTTCTGAGTTTCTTTCTTATAAAAGATTAAATATAAAGCCCTAATTTTCTAATCTAATCAGACCACTTCAACTGTTTGACTCGGACGGTCGAACCGTTGACAAAAAAACCGGTGGCCAGAGTGGTTCCATTTCCTGGTCAGTTTTTAAAACCTTGCTATTATTTGTTACATGTAATAATGTAATAATTTTGATCATTTAAGAAGCTCACTAAGGTTGCATTTGGCATTCCTTATTTTAAGGACTTATTTCCTTTTTGCAGTTAATGCTCCTATGAACACTGAATTTTTAACTGTAGCAAGGAGATAAATCCTTAGAATAAGGAATGCCAAATGCAGCCTAAATGACCCAACTATTCAATTCATTCTACATGTACACAATGACACAATTAGGATTGATGCTTTGGACAATCCTAACCTAATTTGATCTTATATACCTTTTATAATTGAATGTGTATGTATTTGTATGCATGTATGTATATATTGTGCTTTCAAAAAAATATGTGCATATATATTTAGTTGTAGGACATGTATATATCTAATATTACACATGCATACATGCATATATACATACATACATACATACATATACATGCGCATATATATACATACATACATGCATGCATGCATATTTGGTTGATCAGTTAAGTACACTTGAGAAACTAGAAGCACAAACTACACTTTCTAGTGTTAGATTGGCTATTTCACACCCTTTTACATGATATTTGTTGCCTTCTCTTTTTAGATATTGTCCTATAAAATGATTATATTTCTGAGCATTTAAGGCGATGCTTGGCATTGATGCCGTTGCTCCAGAAAATGGCGACACATCAGTGCCACGTTGAAAAATCACAGCTCCAGAAAATGGTGACATGTTCGGAACCATTTTTTCAAAGAAAATGTTGCCCCAAATCACGTCTTGGAAATTGGGAAGGCATAGTCTTCTCATTTTGGAGCATGTTGCTATTAATGGTAACATGATGTGCCAGTGACGTGGCATCCAACGTGTATTATATTTGAATTGATATGGTGCATCGCAATGCACTATATCATAAAAATTCTCTCCTCTTTTAACGAACCCTAAAGCATTTTCTTCTATGGCTTTTTATCAGTTTGTTTTGTGATTTTCTTTTTTTTATATATTCTGTTTTTTCCATGCAATTTCATTCAATTTTCTGATTTTCATACTTTGTTCTATATTTTTTTATTTATCTAGATTTTTTTCTGTTTTTTTCATGTAATTTTCAGATATTTTGCCATTTTCCTCATGATTTCCAGAATTTTTTTTATAGTCTATTCAACAATTGGGACCATAGGATGAAATGGGAATTTTTTTCCACCGTTGGTTGTAAAATAATATATACATAGTGGAAGCACTCGATAATGGGTATCAGTGCTAAAAACAGATATGGAGCACTGGTACCAAATAAAATGTGTTGTTGTTGCCCCAAGAAACATCCTACCTAGCAGCAACGTTTCCAAACAAAAAAAAAGATACCATCAGAAAGCGGTGCTTCCAACCCACATACAACACCGATGCTAAACACATAGTAAATTAATAAAGCGGGTGTGTTGCTACACTGCCAACATCCTTTCAATTCCACCTACAGCCTTTAAAATTTAATTTTATTCCTTTTGTCCCTATTCCTTTGGCTCCCCAGATTTCACCCATAAAAATTCTGTCAAGGAAAGCAAAGTGGAGCGTTCCATATTAAGTTGGTTTGAGACTTATTCACAATCAAAATGAACTTTGAGCAAACATTTAATTATCACTCTAGCTATTAAACATAGGGAAAATTTCCGATTAGGACCATGTACTTTGGGCCTAGTGTCACTTTGGATCCCGAATTTTAAAATGTGATAATTTAGTACTTGAACTTTCAAAACATGTCAATTCATTACCTACCGTTAACCAGTTGTTAACCAGCTGTTAAATGGCATTTGAAAAAGACACAAATACTCTTGGAGTGTCATCTAAGTTTCTTTATCAACCATTCAAACACTTACAATAAATTAATAGTCCTAAATCCTTGCCTCTTTTATTCAAGAAAGTTGGGGTCACATTTGAGTGGGCATGTATTGGATTGTCACGTTTTGAAAGTTTGGATACTAAATTGTTGTATTTTAAAGTTTGGGACCAAAGTGACACTAGGCCCAATGTACAAGGTACTAATTGGGAATTTTCCCTTAAATATATGCATGTATGTATGTATGGAACCTCTACTAACTTATCAAAGGATTTTGTTTTTTGGATACAAAAGTTATCAAGACAGTATTGGTGAGTTTAAAATGTATTTATACTAAAAATACATTTGCACTAAAACCTCTTCGAACTTAATTAAAATGTATTTGCACTAAAAATAGTTTTAAAACAAAGACGAGGGAGGAGGATGGCTGACCTGAGTGTCGCCGGCGAGAGCACAGTGAGAATGCCTGAAATTGCCCCAAAAAACCAGATTTGGTAAAGAGGGTTTCAGGTGTTTAAAATCTCAAAAAAAAAACCCAAAATATTCAAGAATATATGTAGAAAATAAGTCCATACATGAATTCGACCTGGTTACCGGCGAGTTTGTAGCTCGTTCAATGGTTGTTGGTCGCTCCGAAGGAAGGTGCCACCACTGGTATGCTCGCCCCTATTCGAGTGAGGAAGAGGGGTTTTAAGGAGAGATGAGGGTGTTCTAGGTATTTAAAAAAATAAACAGGGACTTTTTAGTCCCAAAATTTTTGCAGGTTCACTTATTAACAAGTACTTAAAAAAAGTAACTCTCAAATGGATTTTTTAATAAGTAATTCTTTATCAAACAAGTACTTTTTCGGTACTTATTTTTTATCAAACACCCACAAGTGCTTATTTTCCACTTAATGTGTGGTCCCAGCACTTTTATTAAGTACTTAAAAAAAAAGTATTTGTTTGAAGTGAAATCAAACAGGCACTAAGGATATAAAGCCCTAATTTTCTAATCTAATCAGACCACTTCAACTGTTCAACCCGAACGGTCGAACCATTGACCCAAAAACTGATGGCCAGAGTGGTTCCATTTCCGAGTCAATTTTTAAAATCTTGCTATTATTTGTCACATGTAATAATGTAAAAATTTGATCATTTAAGAAGCTCACTAAGGCTGCAATTGGCATTCATTATTTTTAGGACTTATTTCCCATATAACACTTACATGGACAAATGCATTATATAAATAACTTATCACTACCTGGTAATGAAGATTTTTGGGTAGGAAATATATATAAGCCGTCCGGTCAACTTTCTCTTAAAACAGTATAGCTTACCTTCCCTCTTGTTATTGGAACTCAAGAAGTCTATCCTGTCACAATTCACAAACACCCAACACCCATTTGGGACGATGTGCTATAGATCTTAATTATTTAGGTAGGTGTTTGGCATTGGTGCTGAGAACATCACATTGCTTTCTTATAAAAATGGTGTTGGACATGTGGAGTTTTTTGTTTGAAATTGGTGCTGCCACATAGGCATTTTTTAGAAAACAGCATTGGTTTTGTTTGGTATGAATGCTGGTAGCAATGTTTCAACATTGATCTACATTATCCAACGTTCAAGATGATGCCACATCATTGCACTGTTGGCAATAATACACTGTTTTCTTAAAAAACATTGAATTTGGTGTTGCTCCAAACCACATTTACCCGATTTTTAAGGCATGGTCTGGAATAACATTTTTTTTTCTGGAAAATTAAACAATACCAAACAAGAGGGCATTGTTTGAAGCACTGCTTTCTCTGATGTAGTGCATCTCGATGCCAAACATCGCCTAGAATTTCCATGTGGCAATTAAAAGACACCCGCTTATTGATATATTCTTTAAATTCAAAATGGACAAAATTCATCTCTATTCTCATGCATCCCTTTATTATTACAGTTTGGACAATGCTGATCATTTGGTTCTTTTCTTCTAGTTTTCTATAAATATTTTCTCCGCGCCATCTCCATCCATTATTTCTTAATAAACCCACCTTCACCTCTCACTAGCAATTGACCCCAACGGCCCGAAACCCTAACCTTCCTCGAGGCACATCGTAGATCACCTCATATGTCCGCTGTTGTAGGTTGCCAATGATGGTCTGATCGACTAGATCTCTGTTTGGAGCAAAAGCCAAGCAATACTGAACTGCACTGATTTTAAAAAGAACCCCTGAAAATGGGTCCAGCTGGATGTCGGTACCTCCTTCAAAATGCAACGTGATGGCAGGTACATTGACTGTCCTGTTCCTGCTCAAGTTATAGCATGTATCAAGAGTCCTCGTTGGTGGTGCTGATGGGTAGTTCGACATTGCTCTCTGGAACGCTGCTCGGAGGATATTGTAGGCTGAACGCGGTAGGTGAGTGACCAAGGAGCCAGAGTCTATGATGGTTCCAGGGTCTGTGAACGCTGAAGATGAAATATTCAATCTCTGTCCATTGACGCTTATTCCCATTAATAGGACGAAATAGTTGTCGGGAAGCCTCGAGAGTGCTCTCATCTGTGTGTACTTCACGCCGGAGGAGGTAGCGCCTGTTTGGTTGCCGAATGCCAAGTACCCAGTGGAGCTGGCTGAGCGTGGGAAACAGTAAGAGAAAACTTTGCCAAATTTGGCAGCCGTCTGAGACACCAGAGACACTTGCTTCGGCCCTAAACCCAGAAGCCCTGACGTTGAATCTCCGAGAGAATTTCTCAGGCCACACCCAAATTGAAAACTGGGGACGACATCGGAGGATGTGAGTGTGAGCTTTTCCCGTCCGAAGTTCCCGATGGAGAAGTCGGTGTCTGCATAGTGGATTTGGTACATGCAGTTGGTGCATTGAGGAGAGTTGTATTTGTTGGAACCGAGTTGAGAGCAGTCGGGCGATGTGCATGAAATGCTGGAATAAGAGGATGATTTGGAAGGGTTGAAGGTGGGTGCTGAGCAGTTAGAACATGGTTGGCATCGGATCCAAGTCAGGCTGCTGCCGGTGTCGATGCTCACCCAAAAGTATTTCTTTGGTGTGCCGAGTCCAATATTGACAATAAAGTTGCCAGTTTTGAGAGAGTAACCTGCCTTTGTTGGAATTTTAGCCTTGTAGTCTCTGGGAGAGAATTGTTTGCCAATCATGGAATGAATAGAGCGAACTCGGAGTTGGTCTTCAAGGAGGATTTCCTCGATGCTGAGATTTTTCTTGCCAAGTGGCGAACAGGGTCCATGTTTGTCTACTAGTTGCAGCTTATTCCTGTAATAATCAGAACCTGAAATCATGGAAAGCATTCTACTTTAGTTTAATCAGAAACTGAAATCTTTAAGTTTGATGATCTTGTCTAGTGGGTCACTAATCATCCAAATTAATTAAAGGAAACAACCAAGTCAGCAATATTCTATTCACAATTAACTAATTTGTCAAGTCTAATCCAATCATGGCTGATTCCAGTAAGAGGGTCAAGATCCTGGATAGATACATAGATGAGTTTCCCCGAAAGATTCCCTATAACTATAAACAACAAGGAAGCAAATACTTATATACCTTTTTGTGATGACATGCAAGTTGTTTCCGGCAGAAATGAATTAACTTCAACCTCTATCATCTCCTCTCCATGGGCCTCGATTTTATACCAACAACAGGAGAGAAATAGCAAAAGAATAGTTGATGAGGATAGGATAAACCTAAGGAGAGAAGTAAGGTGGATGTCCATGAATACTAATGCTCTTTCGTTGTTGTAAGATGTACTTGAGGACGTTTATGCTGGTACTGCTATTTATAGAGGAATGGATAGGTAGAGTTTGCGGTTAGAATTTTCTTGGGCTTTCGAACAAGGAAGAGTTGCAGTTTGGGCCATCTTACGTACCCTGAATCCAACCCGAATAAACCCAATTTAATTTTGGGTTGGGTTTAGGTTAGGGAATCGGGCAACCCAATCTTACTTAGCAATTAGGAATTTTACTTATTATTTAGGCTATGTTTGGTTTGAAGGAAAAGGTAAGGAAAGGAAGGGAAAGGCAGGGAACCCTATACAATAGGGGTGAGAAAAAAAACCGGAAAACTGAATTGGCCAAAAAAACTGATTGAAACCGAAATGAAAAATCGGTTAATCAAATCGATCGGTTCGGTGTTTTAAAAAACCAAAGGTACCGATTCAGTTTTGGTTAACCAATATAGAAAACCGGTGGTTAACCGAACTGACTGGTATACATATATTTTTTATATTTTATATTTTATATATATTTATGTATATTATATATATTACAAATTAATAAATATGTATATTTATAATATATGATATATTATTTATTATTTAAAATATAATATTTTATATATATTTATAAATTTTTATTATATATTTATATATACATTTTTGTAATATATACTATAAAAATTAAAAAACTACAAAACCGGTGAACCGAACCGACAATTAACCGATCAATTTCGATTACTGGCTTTTCAAAAACCCATACTACCGGTTCGATTACCGAACCATGAGCACCCCTACTAGGAACTTAAATAAAGGAATTTGCCGACTTTAAGAGAGAAAGAGAGTTAGTTAGATGACTGGGTCAGAGGGAGTTAATTAAAAGGAACTTAATTAGGGGAGTTTGCGGGCCTTAAATAGGAGAAAGGGAGTCAATAAATGTGGCCTTGAATATGGTTGTTAGTATGTTAATAGAATAGTGAGTGAATTGATAGGGCGTTAAATATGGGAAGTCGATAAGTTATAGAAAGTTACTAAAATTAATTAATACAGAACATTAATTAAATATGAGAATTTTCGGAGACTTGAATACGAGAGTTTGAATGATAATAGGAGAGAGAAAATTAATAGTACATAAAATAGGGAAGTTATAGTGTTAATTAATAGGCCTCTAAATAGGGAAGTGAAAGTAAAAACAACAGGGTTAATAATGAATTCATTTAAAGAAATTTGGTATATGTTTGGCATCGATGTTGTAGATGCAATTGATGTGCGGTTGGATGTGAAAACGGTGTCTTTATTTTTGTTTGGAATCGCTGTTCTCAGATAGGATGTTTCCCGGAGCAACAACAACTTTTCTGTTTGGTACCATTGCTCTAAGAAACGTTTTCAGCACTGGTACTCATTATTCAGTGCCACATCACTGCCTTGTTGGCAGCAATGATCTGCAGCTCTAGAAAACACCAAATTTGGCATTACTCCAAGCCATGGCTTTCCGATTTCCGATGCATGGCTTGGAGCACATTTTTTTTATAGAAAAGCAGTTCCAAACAAATGCCTGTTTCCTGGAGCACCGTTTTTTCCGATGTGGCACTGATGTGGCATCGTTGCTCCAAGAAACGGCAACGATGCCAAACAGCTGCTTAGTATATGTTTGGCATTGATGCTGTAATTGATGTGCATGTTGGAAGCACCGTTTTTTGAAAAAACCATGTCGTTTTTCTGTTTGGAAACGTTGCCGTTAGGTAGGACGCTTCCTGGAGCAACAACACTTTCTTTTTGGTACCAGTGCTTCATGTCTGTTTTCAGCACTGATACCCATTATAGTAAGTCCATGTCACTGCCACATTATGTTTTCGTTGGCAGAAACGAGCTGCAATCTGAGGAAACACTCAATTCAGTGTTGCTCAAAACCACACCTTTATTTCCAAGGCGTGGCTTGGAGCACCGTTTTTTATGGAAAAAACAGTTTCAAACAAATAGGTGTTTCCTGAAACACCATTTTTCTGACATAACACTGATGTATCACCATTTTCTGGAACAATGGTATCGATACCAAACAAACGCTAGGAGTAGTTCCAATTGTTAATAGGTAATATAAATTGAGGAAAGGTAGACTAAATTAAAAACATTTATAGCACCAATAAGAACAATTGATCTATTACAAGTTACAAGGGTTAGAAGAACGGGCCGGAGATCAAAAAGCACATCAGTTGTGGTGGTAAAAAATAATTTAAGAATAGATATATTACTAAACACAACAAAATGGCAAAATAAGTTTCATTTGGGACAAGGTTTAGATATGATGATGAAATAAGAGAGAATTAACGCTATGGTAAAGAGGGATTTGAATTTAAAAATTAAACTTAGGCTAATTTTGAAAAGAATATAAATATAAATATATACAAAATACAAAGTTTTGCATTCTACATATTTACATTTATCCTCCTTCCAAATTAAGCCTGAACCGAACCGTATAGGCTGATATATCCACCATGCATCAGCATCTTTATTAGATAGGGACAAATTAATAGGAGAGTTATAAAGAGCTAACTAGTTGGGATCTGATCCACAAACGGGCTTTCTTAAGCAAAATTGATGCATAAGGGCTGCTATCATATTCTTAATTGAGACAAGCCTATCTAACTCCAACTCAAGTATTATTTTTTGGTTATGTCCAGTTGGCCCTATGACATTAGTAATTAATTAATTAACAAAATAATTAAATTGAGTTTTAAATTATAATTAAATAAAATTTTAAATTACAATATTATTACATTTTTGTTGGCAAAAGAATAAACAGAGGCAAGATGAATCAACAATTCTAAAATATCCCCCTAGCTCCAGGTTGTCACTTTCTTTAGCAAATTATCTCCTTCATACTAAGGAGGATCATTTTCATCCCAGCCTAGAAAAGTGCGCGCATTGCAAATTTTCCATGTTGGGCTCGGGCCCAATACTACAAGACTGACCTGCACATATTTATGTTATGTATGTATCATTTATACATATGTATATCTTATTTGATTTTCTACTTTAATATGACATCTATATAGTTTATACACAAGAGTCATCAGCTTGGAATGAAGCCCTGAGTTGGACAGAAGTTTTAGGCCTGAAACCCAAGCTAGGTTGAGCCGAGCCTAGGATCTAGCCCTTATCATATGTGTTAAGCCCGACTCAACCTATGATCAATCCTAGATACTTCATCTTCTCTCCCCAACCACCCATCTAACTCTTTGGTCTTTTGGTTCTCCTCCAACTCTGTTAATTCATCATTTAAAATCTGAATCCTGTACCATCCCGAATTCCCAAGTAGGTTGAGCAAACCCTAATCCAGTCCATCCATAATTTTATTAATGTTTAGATTTACTAACATCAAAATAGGATTTAAATTAATGAACATCAAAATGGGATTTAATTTAACTGTTACATACATTCCAAATATTAATAATTTTATTGTTGAGTGAAGTAAATAATTTTTATTCTGAAATGAAATTTACTTATTAATTAACTTAAAAATTAATTATCTTTTAAATAGAAGTAGATTATTTAGTTAAATAGCCTACCATTGAATATTCAATGGGTTATAAATTATAATTGAATAGAATTTATTTTTCTCATGAAGTAAGCAATAAATATATTAAGTTAATTCAGTTTAGTTAAGTTAATTATGTAATATAATTTGGTAGATTTAATTTTTTATCGATAATTATAATTAAATGCAAATATATCTAATGGATATAAAATTATAATGAAATTGAAATGGATATAGATATGGATAGAGTAAGTGAAGTTTAGACAATTTAATGGAATAATTGAGAAGAAAGATAATTAGTGCCATGAGTTATTGGAGGAGAGATGATGAAAAAAGTCTTAAAGGTGGCTGACTATTTGAGTTATTTTATTAAATTTAAAAAATTGAATATTTCAAAAAACAAAAAACGAATAGGTATCCTTGTTTTAGTATAAATAGGATAGAACTTTTTTTTTTGGTATCACATATTACACATTATAGAGGGATTAAGGGGTGTAGACAAAGCAGGGTGCATGTGAGGTCCACTGACCTTATTACCACGAAGAACTTGTATTGTACAATAACATCCCAGATGATTGGTTACAACATATTTTCTAAAACCTATCCTATAATTTGCATATTACTATGATACTCCCTATAGTTTGTAACCACTTTACTTATCACTATTTTTCTTAGATGATAGTAGGAAATGATATATTTAACCCTAACATCTGTTTTTGCCACATTAATCAAATCAAAAGAAAATAAAAACTAAAATGTTGATTTTTCCCTTAGGTTTTGCTTTCTAAAAGTTTGACATAAGAGCTATTAGGGGCATTTTTGGAATAGAAAACATTGGACTCATGCCCTTTCACATTCTCTACTCATTTTAAGAGGTCAATTGACCATTTCTAAATAAAAATACAAGCACTTCTGGATGAAAGGTCAATTAAGTAAAGCGGTTGCCAAATATAGGGAGTGTTTTTAGTAATACACGAACTATAAAGTAAGTTTTTGCAAATAGTGAAAATATAAGGGGTGTCCAAACAAATATCTCCTGAATTTAAAAATTAAACATTTTTTGGCTAACAATTTAAAATTTAAACCTAATAGCTGATAGCATGTGTTGATATGCATGTCTAAAGAGGTAAGCGCACTACTACCAAAACTCCACAGCCCACCTTGGATTATACGTGCAACCCAAAACATATCCCATACTAGGAGTGCAATTGAATTGAGTCGAGCCAAACTTTGGCATGTCTTGCCTTAGTTTGACTAAAATATTATTAGGTTCAAGTTCAGGTGTGAATTTCACTCAAACTATATTTTCTTGTTAAAACTCGGTTTGATTAAATATTAAAGCTAAAAAAATGAAATATATATATATAATATAGGATATTCTTATATTATAGATAGAATACAAAAATGTATTTTACATAAAGAATTTTAAGAATATATGTTTTAAAATTTATTTTTATATTCTATAATATATACCTACATATGTATGTATGTATGTATGTGTTAATTGAGCAAGGCCCGCAAATTTTCAAGCTAAACTTTTTATTAGTCAAGCTCAAATTTGAATAATCAATCAAGCTTACCCTAGTTTTGAACTTGATTCAAGCTCGATTATAATTGAACTCGAATCAAGCTCAGATTATTCGGTTAGAGCTCGATTCAATTGCAGCCTTATCCTATACCCAATGCCATCTAACTGAAAAATTGTTAAATAATTTTAATGAGTTTTCCTTGATAATAAAATATCAGGTTTTCCTCTAAAATAAATATTAAAATTGATAAAAGTAACTTCGTCTATACAGTCTTACCATCACAAATTTTTACTTTTCCTCAACCTAGCTAACATTAAATTCTCATTTCCCCTTTAACATTACTTCGTCACTAGAAAAAATATGGAGTAGGGTATTCTATCATTATAACATACAAAAAAGTGTAGCAAAAGGATAAATGCACTTTTAAAGAATTCAAATGCTATATTATTAAACACATTAATTGGTGGTTGGCTCCAAATGTCTAAAGGAAGAGGGATGAAGTTGGTTGATGATAATGAAGTGGCTGAACCTCCTCTATGGCATGCACTATATATCCTTCGGGGAGCGAGATTAAGCTGTCATGGTTAAATTTACAGGTCTGAAATCTATGAAATTGATACAAGAAGAAAGGAAAAGAATCCCATGTTCTTTTTTCAGATGGGTATCACTTATTCAGATAATAATGGATTTTTATGGTTAAAATGGTCATTTCCTTTTTTATTTAGGAAATAAAAGAATATGGGTGAATACACATACCTAGGTAAGTGTTTTCCAGGAAAAACTTACCTAAATAATTGTATTTACCTGGATAAATAACTTACCGAAAAATGAATAGAGCCTTATATTTTGTTCATATTTTGCTCTGACTTACTACTTTGTGATCTGGGTTGGTCACTAAATGAAGTTGATTGGATTTCAACTTGGGGTGGTTTAAATTGGGTCTGTGGATGGAAGTCTATGCTCTTACACTACCACGGAATTTTACTGAAGTTTCCTTTAATAACTCCATCTGAGCCCCACTAAAATTGTAAATCAAATCCAGCTGAGCCCAAATTGTTTGAGCTGTCAAGAATATATACTTGTGGGCTCGAACACTATTGATGAAGTACGGTGACTCACGGTGATTTGTATAGGAAAGTTAGTGCTTAGGATTATCAATGTTTTAGAAATCCACTCTGAGGCTGAATCGTTTTTGCCTTCACGCTCAGTTTGTGCCACATTAGCAATATGTAAATTCATAAATATTTATGTATATCTATATATATATATATTTGTGTGTGTGTGTGCGTGTTGTATACATATATGTGTGTGTATAGGTTATGTATTAATATGTATTTTATCAATAAATAATGTATAATTATGTTATACATGTAGTATATGTATTATTTTATATTTAATTTATGTTTTTAATTCAGTTTTTAATTTTGTATTCATAAAAAAATATTAAAATTTGTGATTTGAAGCCAAAAAAGGGATTTATTGGAAAAGATAGCAGGGCAAATATCTCAAAAAGTTGCCCAGAAAAGTTAAATGTGTATGCAGATTTAAAGAGGCTATAACTTTACACTCCGATATTTGATGAGGTCTAATCGTCCGGGTCAAACAATTTTTGATTGATGAAATCAACAGTTTTAATTATTCTCCCGATTTTACTAAAAGATCCAGACCGAATGACGGTTTAAATGATTCAACCAGTAGAGTCAATGGCAGATTAAAAGTACTGATTATAATATGAATTATGGAAAAGTACGGAAAAACCCACCGCAGAATTTTAATTTCCACCATAGACACAACATTTCAAAATGTCAATTACCCCCCTATTCACCAATGCACCCTATTGCGAGCTGGCACCAACGCAATTAACCATTATCAGCATTCTTTCCATTTATTGCACATTCCTTATAACATTGATTCCACAAGTACAAATTTATTAAGGAGAATGGCTAGTTATTTGGTTTTAATTTTCTCCAGATTATTTGCCATCCTCTTCATCAATTTATTTATTTATTTCCAATTTTCCATCTCTCTCACTCTACAAGAACGCACTAGCAATTAATCCCGACGGCACGAAATCCTATCCTTGCTTGAGGCAAATCATAAACCACCTCATATGTCCGCTGTTGCAGGTTGCCCAAGATGCCCACATCGGTTTGATTTTGGTTTGGAGCAAACCCCAAGCAATAAATCGATGCATCTAATTTAACAAGAACCCCTGAGAATGGGTCCAACTGGACGTCGGTACCTCCTCCAAAATGCAACATGACGGGAGGTACATTCACCGTGGCGTTCCTGCTCAAGTTATAACACGTATCAAGAATCGCCTGTGGTGGTGCTGACGGGTAGTTGGACATGGCTCGCCGGAACTCCGACCGAAGGATCGTGTAGGCTAAAGGCGGTAGGCGACTGACCACAGTGCCGGAGTCTATCACAGTTCCAGGTTTTGTAAACACTGAAGGTGAAAGAGACAATCTCTTCCCTCCGACGCTTATTCCTATTAATGGGATGAAATAGTAGTTTGGACTGTGCGAGTCTGTCACCAACTTTGTGTACTTGACGGCAGAGGTGGTGCTTGGTTGTTTGCCCAATGCCAAGTAGCCATAGGAGGTGTCTGTGCGCGGAAAGCAGTAAGAGAAAACTTTTCCAAATTTTCTAGTTGTTTGAGACACCAGAGACACCTGGTTGCGCCCAAAAGCAAGAACCCCAGATGTGGAATCTGGGAAACTATTCTGGTTGCCACACCCAAACTGAAAATTTGGGAAGACATCAGAGGGTGTTATTCTGAGCGTTTCCTTTCCAAAGACCCCCTTAGAGAAGCCTCCATCGTTGTAATGAACTTCGTACAAGCAGGAGGAGTTGCAGCTGGGAGAGTGGCCTGTGGCAGTGTAGACTGGAGAGCACTGGGGAGTCCTACACGCAAATGGGGAATAGGAGGATGACCTGGAAGGGGCGAAGGTGGGTATGGATGAACAGTTAGTACAGGGTTGGCATCGGACCCAACTCAAGCTGCTTCCGGTGTCGATGTTCACCCAGAAATCTTGTTTTGGTGTGCCCATTCCGATTTTGACAATGTAGTTGGATGTTCCGAGAAGGTGGCCTGACTTGATTGGAACTTTGGTCTTGGAGTCTCCCAGACCCAGAGGGGATTGTTTGTTGATAGTCGATTGGATAGAGCGGACTCGGAGTTCTTCTTGGAGCAGGATTTCATGGAGACTGAGACTTGCTTTGCCTAGTGGTGAGCAGGGTCCAGTTATATCCACTAGTTGCAGCTTTCTGTAATGATCCGAACCTGAGGAAACCATGAAAAGCTCACTATATTATTACTTTACTCTCTCTCCATCTGCAAGGAAAGAAATATGGCATAACAAGAAACCTAATGGAGCTTCTTTAAGACTCGTACATGCCACGACGCTCCATTGATAGATAAAGTGGCTGGTGCGTGACACTTCGTACTTAGGGTTGTATTCGGATGGGATTCAGTAAAATTTGAATACGATTAGATTATTGATTTATAATTCAAATCCTAATGAACTCGATCAGATTCCGATTTAATCTAATTCTACTTTAATTTTATTAAATATAAAAATATTATTTACTTTTCAATTTTTATATATAATAAATAATGTAAATATAATATATTGAATTTATTATATTGCCAGGTGTCCCAGGATCAAGAAAATTCATATATAAAGTAGATAGGTTGTTTTCGAATAAAAAACTGAACAGATTTTCCTTTGTAACCATCGCATTCGCATGCTTATAAAACCTGTCTCCTAGCTAGCATAATCAACTGCAATGCCGATCGAGACTGTATTATAATGTACAGGAAAAGCATCAATTATAAGAAAACCTATTCCTATCGCATTGTTTGCCTGCAGTGCAATTTTATTTGCACTGGTGCAAAAGTATTGGAGTGCAAATAAGTTGAGTAAAAATTCTGATTTATTACTGTTTGGGGCAATGTTTTTGAATCGTCATTGACCCAGATGGTCGGACCGTTCAAACCAGAAGCCGTTTAGGCGATCAGTTCCATTTTATCCCAAGTCTGGTCTTTGATCAAAAACAGTTAAATTAGTCAACGAACCGTTGACCCAAACGGTTTGACCGTTGAACCATTCGGCCTGAAGAACGGTTTGCGGTTTAGAGCAAGTGAAGAACTCTCAGATCTGAGATCTACATGAGAAAGAGAGATCAGATGAGGAGTTGAGGGATGTGTGATACTATGAGAGAGATCCGAGAGATCTGAGAGAGCAGGCTAGAAATCTGAGAGATCTGAGATCTACTGGAGTCTAGATGACAGATCTTAGAGAGAGAGAGAGAGAGAGAGAGAGAGAGAGATCTAAGACTGAGAGAAATCTCATATCTACTTTCATTGCTGCCGCTGTAGTTTGCCATCGTTATCGTCGTCGCCGCCGTTGTAGTTTGCCATCGTTGTCGTCGTCGTCGCCGCTGCAGCTTAGAAGTGACATCCTCCTCCTCGTCCTTCTTCTTCTTCTTCTTCTTCTTCTTCTTCTTCTCTCTTCTAAACTCTTTCAGCCATCGACAATTTCTCACATCTCTCTCATCCTCAAACACTCAAACCTTTTTTTCTCTTGTATTTATATGCATCTTACCCTAATATTCCAATCTAATGGGTAAGATGACATATCACCATCTATAGTATTTAAACCGTTAAAACCATCTTACCTGGACAGTTGAACCGCTCACCCGAAAACCAGTGGCTAGAACGGTTCCATTTTTGGGTCAGTTTTTAAAACCTTGATTTTGGGTATTTCTCTTATTTTGCCTCTGTAATGCAGATGAAGTAAAATAAAATCTGAACAAAAGTAAAATGAAAATCAAGGCAAACTAAATTAAGTCAGAATTTGCACTCTTATGCATTTGTACTAGTGCAAATAAAATTGCAATGCATATAAATGAAATCTAAACAATAAGAAAGGGGAAAATCTTAAAACCTTGTATGGATGTTTTGTAACTTGTTGGTGATAGTAATGAATCATCTGCATTCTCTACCGTCTCTCCTCCATGGGCCTCAACTTTATACCAGCAACAGGAGTGAAGCAAAAGAATTGAAGAGGCCAAGATAAAGCTAAGGAGAGAAGTATGAAGAATGGCCATTTCCGTTGCAGAAGTTGTAGATGTAGTGGAGGTTGTAGCCACTGCTATTTAAGGAGGTAAGGTATGAATAGTTAGAGGTAGGAGTAAGCATTTCCTTAGCTTTAGAATTAAGAAAAAAAGGCTAGGGTTGCAACTTGGGTTGGGTTAGCCTGAACCCGACCCGAATAAAATAAGGTAGGGTTGAAGGTTGGTTTAGAATTAGAGTTGAAAAATATGAACCTAATTTAAAATTTAGATAGGTTAGGCTTGAGGCCTTCAACAACCAAAAAAATCATATAAATAATTTTAAGTTTAAAATTAAAGCTAAGGCTCAGTTTGGAAGGAGTATAAATACAAATAATATATAGAGTGCAAAACTTTATATATTGTATTATTTTGCATGTATTTGTATTATATATATTTGTATTTGTACTCTTTCCAAATTAGGGCTAAGACTTTTTTTTGTATGTGTAAAATAAGTATTATACTGATAATCAATTAACTAGTATCATAAAAGTGGTAACCAATCAGATGCCTTACATAATTTGAATAATTTGTACGTGTTAAAATAATTATGACACTCTGCATTGAAACAACTAAATCAAAACCTTTGATGTATTGCCATGACCCCACCTTGAAATAGATGGAGTGATTTCTTTTTTCTTGATGGGCCACTGCAAGTCTGCAACACATCTATTGCCATAATATCTTAGCAAAAGTGAATCCTTAGAACATTGAAAGTTTGTATCTTAAAAAACCCATGTAATTAAGTATTTTATTTATTACTTAGGCGATTCGGGTCTATATTTTCTTCCCAACAACATACGTAGGCTTAAATAGGAGAGAAATAATTAATAGGACCATAAATAGGAGAAAGAAAGAGAGCTAACTAGTATATAGGTCCTTAAATAGAGGAGTTAGAATCTTAATAGGAGAGAGGGAATTAAGATATTAATAGAAGAGAGTTAATAAATAGATCATTAAATAGAGGAAGTTATAAAGAGTTGCAATAGTTACATGGCTGCCCACAAGGTAGCCAAGTTTGTCCACAAAGAATGATTCATGTAACTGACTACTGTGAGTGAGGCTGTTGATGAATGAAAGTTGCCTTCCGGCTTTCCAAAAACAAATTAATAAACAGTAATATTAAATAGAGGAGTTAATAGGAGAGTGTTAAGGTGGTTAAATCAAGTATATAGAGGAGGGGGATCATTGGGCTAGCCCGTGAGTGACCCGACTACAAGAAGGAGATGTATGGCAAAATACTATCACCGAGGCCTCATTTGGTTTGCAGGAATAGAAGTCAGTAATTGAAATTGGAATGGGTTATTTCGATTCTAACTGTTTGGTTGGGTGAAATTAGAATCCCATTCTCGTTCTTGTTGGAATGGCATTTCCCCATTTGAGGGAATGGGTTCCTTCCCCCTCTCTTGGGAATGAAATTCCATTCTTGCTTGTTTCAATTCCCATTTCCATTTTTGTCTGAACCAAACAGGCTATGGGAATGGACCATTCTGATTTCAATTCTGAAGGATTTTGCTTCTAATTCCAACTACGAACCAGACAGACCCTGAGTATTGCCCAACACAAACCATGACATGACTGATAAATTCTCCGTTGGTCTCTCTGGGCTGAATGTCTTGGATCTGGGCTTCTTGGGTCTTTTGTTTCTTTTTTTATCTTCTTTGGGCCTATCGGGCTTTTGATCTTGTTTAGGCCTTTTCTTTGAAGAATTGAAAATTAGGGTTGCAACTTAGGGGGACCAGAGGCAGGGGGGGGGGGTGGCTCAGGTTGGTATATTGTGAAAAGTTGAATGGGCTGGCCCGAAGCCTGAGCCTAAACCAGTGTAAAATATTAACTCGAGCCAACCCATGTTGCACCACTACTGCAAATGGATCGAATGGAATGAGATAAAGGTAGGTTCAAACTTAATTTGTTTATATTTGAATTTGCATCAGATCTTATCCATCAGTTTTTTCTTTTTTTTGGGGGATTTGAATTGAATTTGGAATACCAAACAGATATTGAAATAATATAAATAAATAAACTAAAATTGATCAAAACATTATATATTATAGTATTAATAAAATGAACTAAAAAAGACTGACATTATATTTCATAACAAAATGGGTTGAAAATTACTTGTATAAATGTTGAACCCATGACAATTCAGTTAAACCACAACATTCAACCAACTTCACTAATAGTTATAATATAAATTTTAAATATATGAACAAATATATTTAATTGAATGAAATTGGATTATATCAGATGGGATAGGGGTGGATCCAGATTTGATCTATAAATGGATCAGATTCAAAGCACCTTCAACGGATTGAATTCGAATTTGAATTTGGACAATTGGATACCGTTGTAGCCCTAAAGAAGACAGATGGAATGTAGGAGTGTTCATTTCTACTAGCTAGGAGTAAACACAAGGGAAGTAGGTACAGCTTAGAGAAGTTTTTGGAAGGAATATGAGACCTAATACTTCTAAGTTCTAAAAAATAAAAGATAGTTTACAACTCTTTCCTAAATTACAACTAGAACAGATCTCTTATTCCAAGATTGAAATAAAATTCTTTACAATGCAAAAACTTTATGATTCTTTCATGAGGATGTCCAAGACAATACCAACTTCCACCTATAGTTTCCTTTCCTAGAATCTTCCTTGTCTTCTGATGATTTTATCACAAAACTAGTTAAGTCAAATATAAAAATACAATATCTTTCTTTAATGAGGTGACCAACATATAGTCATATAATAGATTGTTTTTTAGTGCATTTTTCAATTAATGAGAACCATTGGACATGCATGGATATTAAAGCATTCCCAAATCCCAAGTACATGTGAAATTTTAAGTAATTTTACCATTTCCAACCAAGATTTGAAAATGCAATGACCAGAAGGGCCTAATCAAGGGATCAAATTCCTTTCATGGGTCTGGTCCAACAAGTCGTAACAGTCAATGGCTTCATGTCCCTTGGTGTAAATTTTATTAAAAGAGAGAATAAAAAGCAAAAGTACATAGTAACTGGTTCAACAGGACAGAGCCTGTACCTAGATTTGTCAAAGCAAAACCAACAAATATGGACAAGGACAAAAAACCATCCATCCAAGGACAAAAAGTCCTTGCCGATTTTTTCTGGTGATTCCACATGGAAACCCACTATTGTTAATTAAAAATATTTTGTTGCTTCTTCCTTCTCCCACTTGCTGAAATCCTTTACTTTGAGAAGGGAATTCTGGTTACCACAATGTGTTATTGTATTACTTTTGATTCTACTGCATTGATTTGATCAGTTCTTGTTGTTGTCCAACAAGTGCAAAAGTATCATCAGTAGTATTTTTCTATGATCCTTGGGTCCAAAGTTTGTGACTGATCAAGGAAGATACAGATTGGGACCAAGAGGAAAGAAGCTGCCTAGAAAGCATCATGGTAGAGTAGATTTCATATCTAGGCCCAAGTCCATTGATAGCCCAATACACCTTGTCTATTTCTAACATTGGTTTTTATATTATGGCCAGATCATCATAAATATTTTTGAATTCCTTCAAATATTCATTGACAGATAGGCTACCTTTATGACTAGAGTGTATTTGTCATATGGGACTCAATTCTCTATCCTCTGAGGCTTCAGAAAAGGACATTTCTGAGAACAAGGGAAGGCAGTATATTCCTAAGACTGTCTGAAAGACATGATTTTGAGAATAAAGGCACCTGATATGACAAATTTTATATTGCTGTCTCTTCAATAACCTGTATGTTTTCTCAATTCCTGTGTAAGTAAATTGTCAAGCAAGAAAAGAATCAAGAAATTGAAACCTTTTTTACTTAATGTAACAAGATGTGCACAACTTATAATAATGAAAATAGTCTGATTTTATTGCAATAATAATAATATGTATACCCATGAAGCAAACCACTTCCTTATAAGGTATTTTACTGATATCTACTTGTTTGAACTTGATTCATCTGTAGTAATGCTTAGTGAATAATAGATATCTGCTACTATATAGGAATTCTCAACTATACTTGAGAATATTCATTTGGCCCAAAAACACGATTGTGGCAAGAACCATCACAAGGATAAGGGCAATCTATCTTCTTGAAATCGCTCCTGTCATTATACCAGTCTCCAACTGCTTTGGCAATTGGCTGCAAAACATAATTTATTAACAATACAAATAAATAAGATATCTTAGATAGAAAGTAAACAAATTAGACCAGATTCCAAATTAGTAATGAGTTTACAGACGAGAGATCTACTAGACCTACCGTCTTATCAAGAACAGGGGAGTCAGCCCTTAACCATGTTTCCTGCACTTCGGATTGGCAGTGAGCATAGCAAGAGTTTATAAACATGCCCTTCATGGAAGAGCTCATTAATTCTCCCACTGAATTTAGAAACTCCGACCTGAAACCTGTCAGGGTATGTATTTGTCTCATTAAAGTTGGAAATTTTATCTAAAACCAAACCAAATGAAATATATCCTTCAACAGGTAACTCACTAACTCCATTAATGCCAAAAGTTATCAAATTGAAACACTCGTATATTACCTCTAGGAATTTACAAATACCCTACCTAACATAAAGTTGCTACAAAAAAAATGATAATTGTATTCATTTCCAGACATAATGCTTGTTGATTGAGAGAAATAACAACTATATACAAGACTATGATGTGAGATTTCCTGAATCAAAGGTCATTTCTCCATGGTAGTAGTCAAAATTAGAGGGCAAAGAATGGTGACCTTGCATGGTTTGGAGTTGACTAGATGAACAATTCTTTATATCAAGCTTGCAGTAGTGCCAGTGGCCATGAGGATCAGCAACGCCAGGTGCCAAAGTGTTCTTTATCTGGAATTAAAATTAAATTTGTAGTATTTAGGAACCATCATATTTCCACATCCAAACCAAGTTGGGAAGAATATCAGACAAGAACATCATATATTGTATGCATTTTAGTACTGCATGTTGTACATAAAACCTCACCTGCCAGGAATCATAGGCTGCATTCAATATAAAAAGTTGTGTATACATATCTTGCACAACATTTTGGGGGAAAAAACACTGCAAATTTTGGTCAGATGTGCAAGTAAGATTGAGATATTTCTGAATTAGGAATTTGGAAAACAAAACAACTTTATTAAAATGTTGTACAGTACAGTAATAGCAAGCATACATACCAAACTTGGTTCCGTTCTTGAAGTGCAGGACACAGGCAAATTCTTTGCTGATTGCTACACAAGATAATAGAAACAAACTCAGTAATAGAAATTCTCTTGATAAATTCATCCCCTCCCCATCCCATACTACTTCCATTAGTGTAATGTAAATAGATCCAATTTAACATGGGGATGCAAGAGGAATCAAAATTGCTGCAGATCATATCCTGGCAGAGTAAATTTTGCTTCCTCTTTTGTCTTCCTTTCCTTGACTTGTAAAATAAGATAATCCAAATAACAGAAGAGGAAATGAAATACATCCATATTAATTGAAAGAAGAAAAAGGAGAAAAATAAATACATGGGTTGTCACGACATCATTATAGATGGCTTGTATGTGATCTTTCCCAGAAACATCCTTCCTGTTATGCAGCACCATTGATATTAGGCACAAGTTTATCTTATTGCAAGTAACAGTGTAAAAGTATCCTAGTTTTGGGCTTACGCATTGATGAAATAACCAGCATCAGAAAGACATTTAACTTTGGCATCCACAGGTAGGAGTTCACGGAACCTATCACAATGGAGAATGGCAGCCAAACCACCCGATGAACATCCAGAAAGAAGAGCCTGTGACCAGTTTCTTTAAGTTATTATTACAAATTTTACTAATTAAATTCAAAAAAAGAAAGAATAAAAAGATATAGAAAATTCAAAATTGTCTTACATATTTGGCATTTTTCATCCCTTTCTCTAGTAGGTCCTCCATAACAGCTTGCCAAACCCTCTCTCCTCTTAAGTAAAGGTTGTTGGCCTGCTCAGGTTCATTGATGTCACATAGAAAACCTAAGTAAACAATGTTCTTTGGTTTTATTATGAAATTAAAGTCATAACTGATAAAATTCAAAAGGCTCACCGGATCAATAGCCTCCACATCTCCAGTGAATGATGATCCATCACAGTACCGAACCTTGATCTTGTTCCAATTATAAAAATCTAGATAGTGAAATATAGTTTTATGTCATTTTGCAGAAAAGGGAATTGGATAGAATTGACCAAGAGATACTAAAATTTGAAACCACAGAGAGAATACAACCAATAAACTGAAATTTCTACTACCTGGGTTAAAATTTTCCTTGTTGCTCAAAATCCCTGAGAATGCAATTTGCTTTGCCATTTTCTTAGAGGATCCATGACGGGTGTCCTTGTGAGCAAGACAAATTGTGACATTGCTACACCATCCTCCTCCCTAAGAAGGTAAGAGAGAAATTAAAAGAAGGATCCAGCAAGGAACAGCTAACACGGTAACACCACTTACTATCAACTGTATTGAGTCAAATGGAAATAACTAGAAATATACAAGCATAGAAACCTTGGTCAGATATTTTACAAAGAAAAGTGAACGTGTAGAGCTCAGAAACAGTGACCAAATAGGAGTTTAATCAATTTTTACCTGTGCCACTTCACTAGTAACTCTTATGTTGATTTAATGTCTCAAATGTTTTACGATGAAGTCATTCAAATATGAGAAGAATTTGGTTTAGATCAAGGAAAAATACCCTTGCTGGTCATGAGCTAAACTGTCATTAGGAACCTGGCTTTGTGATATTGAATCCAGTGTTTAAAATTGAACCATCTCAAACAATAATATATTGTCTCAATTAACCAAAATCTATGAATGAACTCTGGAGTCCATTTGAAGATATCTGTCATTTAATCTGCCTATAATTAAATGTTCTAGTATGTATATACTCCCTTAGAGCAGAAGCACGTTGTTTGTTTCTGGGATAAAAAAGTACTTTTATATAAAGAGAGAAACACTAAGCAGGTATAAATGTTCAAAAAAGGACCTCGAGGTGAACCAGCCAGTTGTTAATCCCTGATCCAAATCCTTTATCCATATGGTATGCTGGTGGACTCCCATCCAAGCAAACTGAAAGGCATTTGGAATTTCAAAATGCAAAATCTTCCTATTGTGTAATAATTCCAAATTTCACATTAAAACAAAATTAGTGAAGTCCGTACCTGCTCCCTTTGCTATAGAATTTTCAACATAGGTAATCCCCACAAAGAACCCATTTGCTTTCATTGTGATCAGTGTGCAAATTAGAAGATACAGCAATGCAGCTGATCTTGTATAAATCATTCTGCACATACCAATCAATGCACTAAAGACAGGGCAAAGTGCTAGAAAAGAAAAGGTTTATGAATTTCATATTAGAAGTAATATGTCTAAAGTGAGTACAAATGCTAGCTAGACTTTTTGATTATTCCCACCCCAAGTAGTTGAATATTAAAACCTTTTACACCAAAAACCCACTTCTTATATAAGTAAAACTAACTTATGATACATCATTAAAAATAAAAAATTTAAGACAAAACTTACTAGATACTCCAAGAATCCATTTGTAATATGTAAAATGACAAATCCATTTCCCTCCATCAATAAAACTTTCCTACATGTATAAACTAAAACGGAACTGCATTAATCCCAAACCCCATCTGTAATTTGAACTTCAACATGAAATCTCAAATATCTTCCATTAGAAGATCAAAAACTAAATAAATTAAGAAAACTTACGGGCACCTCATTATGCCCATGTTCAAGAATTCATATCCAGAGTTCAAGAGTAAACTCAAAGTCCATAGTATATGACATAAATGCATTTCCTCTGACGAACTTTTAGAACCCATAGCACCTTTTTTACATGATGACAATGATGATGCATGTTAATTATTAAGTGCATTATCAAAACCAAGAAAAAGGAAAATCTTTAATCGACAAAATGTGCATTGTTCTAACAAACCATGGATCACCCATCATACAAGAAGCTCACAATCTATCTTTCTTTTCATCAGTAATGATTAACCATAGACTATTCTTTCATTTCATCTAGGAAGCAAACCAGACCCAGATAACCAATCATTGAAAAAAAAAAGAAAAGAAAACCTTCAAAACCCACTTGTTTTATTATTCAGGAACGTACTGATGTGCAACAACTTGTTCAGTTTATTTCAATAAATTAAGATACCAAAATTGAAAGCAAAAATAAACAAACAAAGCCAAAATCATTAGTTCAACCTGAAACCACAAAATAGAGATTCCAGAAGTAGACAATCACAGGGCATATTCGTCCTTCTAAATGGCTGAATCTCAGACAAGACTACCCTTCCCACTCTTTCAGCTCAAGAAATCTGACTACTAATCCAACTCACACTAAAGCCAGGTAATGGCAATGAGCATAGAACAGTACAAAACAGAAATTTATCCACTTCGATCACTTAGCATGCTAAGTTTATACGATACTTATACCAAAGTGATCAACCACTCTAACCTTACGTAACTGTAAAGCTGATAAGTCGAATTGGATGGAGTAAAACAGAGAGAGAGAGAGAGAGAGAGAGAGAGAGACGTCAGCTTATTACATGCAGAAACTTGTCGGTGATTGAGGTGGAGCCAACATCCAATTACGTGTTAGATTGCATCAACGTATTTTTCATTTTCAGCTTCAGCAAGGCACGGCTCCCTTTGGGCTTTGGATTAAAAACTGCTGACATGCCGCAGGTGCCACTGTAACAGCAACCAACAACTACTGTTTCTAAATTCTAACCCTCATAAACAGATTAACCAACCAAAAAACAACTCGGAAAATCGGGACATGTGAGAGTGGCCATGCATGCAAAATGCAACATCTACTCCTCAATTCACCAATGAAGTCATACACAGTGCTTCTAAAAGCTAAAATTAGTGAATAGCTCCAGTAGGCCTTAGTGTTTTATCTGGTTCATCTACTCCTCATTGACCAGCTCTCACTTTTAAATTTGATCAAGTTGATATAGAAAAGGAATGAGACAAGTTAGAATTATCTGTTCTGTAAGCCATAGCTTCTGTGGTTAATACATTGCTATCGATTATAATAGCATATTTGGTCTTGCAGATATGCTGTACTCATAATGTTCTGTACATAGTTGCTCTATCTTCGATGTTTAATTCTCTATTCCTCTTCCACGTTTTTGCTATTGCTTTTCTACCATTGGGCATACATAACAGGCCTAGTTCACTACTTTAGGTTGTGAGTGCACATAACGCCAAGGATTAGAGCTATTGAATGAATCTTAGAGCTTGACCATCAAAATCCTTTGCACCAATGGATACGTCCTAGAGGTTGGCCAAATCAGCTTTAAGGATAACAGATATTTGCCACCCCTTAACTATTATCCATAAGTTTCTCTGTTTTCCATTGCAGATTCTGTTTATTGATTATTATTTTGATTACTATTGCAATTCCGATACACGATTATTGCCATACTATTGCTTCTGTCTGCTTACTTTTTCCAACAAAGGAGACATCGATATAATGAGAAAATACATGTTTGATAAAGTAGTATTACCACAGGATTTGAAAATTGATGCCTTTAGCATGTAATAATTGAATTTGAAGGGCTAGCCCTCTAATCTCTAGCAGGTTCAGTGATAATTCTTGCAACTGGATGTAATATTATTATTACATATATGTCCCAATAAAGTATACAATAAATATCTCTGTGGCTATTGCCACCCTGGAGAATTTAATTTCGGGTTCAGTTTAAAAAACTAAATTTCATGAAAAAGATGCCAACACAACTGGATCAGTAAATCTGCCAAGTTATAATTTCAAATCTATGTAGAAATAATAAATATTTAAAACATAAAACAGAGGAAGAAAATAACCTTTAAATGTTATATAGAATAGGATAACTTTAAGAAATAATTCCAGTGCAAAACAGATGCAAATATAAGACAAATGTGTTTTTGTTGGGGGTTTGTTGTTTATAATCTAATTTATTGTCAACAAGGTCTGATCCAGCCAGATATTTGATAGATCCCAAGTGAATCAACTGATTCCAATTTGATCAAGTGAGTTTTATAACCTGTAAATTATATACTCTGTTGATTTTAGACATCCAGATGGCTAATGTTTCAAGGATCCCTGGATGATTCAATGCAGATATCCTTACCGAGACAATCAAGACAGAGGATTCTTGTATCATCTTGGATCATGGATCATGATAAGATCAACTGTCACAAAAGTGAGAAAATGAACAAGATCTCCATTTTGGGGGGTGGCATAAAAACTGCCAAGTCAAAAAACTACACAAGGCATAGGGTGGCATGGTCCTTGATTTCTCCAAAAACTACACCAATTGTTGGTTCTGAGCCTTCAACTCTGAATTCACAGCATGGATGAATATCCATTTTGTCTCTTCTAGGGAAACCTAGAAACCCTTAGAAGGCAGGCATCCCCTTTTATTATTCTACTTCTGAAAAAATAGTTGACTATTTAGTAGGTATTGTGGTCAGCAAAGAGGTTCAATATTAAGGACCTTTGTCCATCTAAAAATAATGGCCAAAATACAATACCAGTAACTATGTATTGCATCTTTATGTCATCTACTTGGCCTAAAGATTCCAAGGAGTGTCCATTCTTACACAGATAAAGTTTATGATAAGAATGAATCCTCTTCAATGAAAAAGTTGTTGATGCCTACGGCCTAGGTTTTTCACCAATATAACTCCCTACAGGCAGTCTAACCTTTTGCTACAGTGTCAGCAATTGCCTAATTTTCCTGCATTAGAATCAAATGAAGCCACACAATCGCTCACCTAGGGATTGAAATGAGTTAACGGTAAGATGCTGGAGTTGTTCTACTAACAAATCATGGAGTTCTACTTTTTGCACCTGTTATGTCAACAAGATTAGCTCCATTGAAGGATGTTGACAGACTGTTGGCTCTTCAGTTGCACCATGAGACATCCACTTTGCATCACTGAAAACTGATGCGTAATGCCAAAGCTAAAACTTCCAAAAAATGAATATAATATGCTCCATTCTAGGGTGACTAAGGAGTCAGGCATTTCGGAAAGGTCTAACGTAATTTCCATCTGCCATTTCTGGCAATCACATTATATTCATGTCTATTTTATCATCCACTAAAATTCTACACAAGCTCGATCAATCATATATTAATAACAAGATGCTCATGACCTGCTATAACTAAGATAGTTTTATTTTATTGCAACAATAATACTCAAATGTATAATACAATTATTTCCTTTATGGTTCCCTCTAAACATACTGTTGAGCCTGTAACTATTATGGAATAGAAATGTAAGATTTTGTTTTTCATTTCTAAACCTTATTTTTCCCATTTCTTGAAAAAAAATCAACACTGTAATGCAAAGTATCAGGCACTTGAGTTTAGTGCTCCGGTGATCTTTGCTTTCTCAATGGAACAATTGATCACTCATTTGTTTTTTTGTTCAACCTTGATTTATCTATGGTAATAACCTTTGAATGGAAATCAGCCTCTACTTAAGAATTGTTAACTTATGCTCCCAGATATTAATTATGACCAAAAACATGGTTGTGGCAAGATTTGTCGCAAGGATAAGGGCAGTCGATCTTCTGGAAGGATCTTCGATCATAGTACCAGTCTCCAACTGCCTTTGCAATTGGCTGCAAAACAGAATTATGCATTATGCAAAATAAGGCTAATGTAAACAAGAAATATATATGCATAGAAGAGAAATAAACTCACTGTATTATCAAGAACTGGAGAGTCATCTTGTAACCATGTTTCTTGCATTTCAGATTGGCAATGGGCATAGCAAGAGTTTATGAACATGCCTCTTGAAGAGCTTCTTTGTCCTAACAACGCACTTAGAAATTCCATCCTGAAACCTGTTATGTCATGATCACGCTTTATTAACCTTAACATATTCCTGAAACCAGCTCAAAAAAGTGGAAATTATATTATTCCTCAATTAGTTCCATTTATGTCATAAACATATAAATCGAACTATTCCACAGTTCATCTGTTCATTGGTATATATAAGAAGCCTCTTTTCTCAGTAGGGCTGCAAAAGGATCATATCAAATCAGATATAACTCAAATCAAATTCGATCCCGTTAATGTATTGATCCTAAGAAAACCTTATCCACTATCATATTCAAATTGGACTTGATTGGTTTTGAATAGTGCATGCTGATGATGCGTGATCTGGCAGTTCCCTGCTGGCTGATGACTCAGAAGCCAAGATGGAGAATTCCTTGCTGGAAGGTGAATCAGATGTCAAGCTGAGTAAGGCCGAGCTAGAAGATAGCTCGGATGGATATCGAGCTATATAACGGAGAGTTGTATAATTTTCTGGGAGACCTGCAGTGAAACAATATTAGAGTGCCCAGGTTTCTTTACCCGAGGTGGGCACTCCGATGCTTAAGTCAGCGAATTGGAGATTTTTGAGAGAGATAAAAGTAAGAGAGCTAGAGAGCTGCGAGAACTAAATTGTGCATGTACCTTGTGAGGTTGGAGATGAGGCCTATATATAGGCATTGCTCGGCATGGGCTTCACGCACGGCGTCCGAGATCTCCGGGAGGTCGTGGTTGGCCGGGCCAAAGTCTTCGGAGGTAGTGGAGCACATAGACCAGGCTTTGTGCCTCCGAAACATTCTATGCAAGAACTAACTTCTGGAAGACCTGGGAGTGATGGGACTCGTACACGGAGGAGGTCGGCGAGCACGTCTCGTAGGTCGCCACATGGACCTCAGTCGAGTTGACAAGTCCTCAAGGGAGGTCGCTCAACCACAGGTCGGCCCTGGACAAGGTGTTCCTAGCCGCCTTACCGATGTGCCCAAATTGTAAATGAGGTTTTCCAGCTAGGACTCCAATTAGTTGGTGGAGTTAAGTCGCCAGGTCGGTGGAGGTAGATTGCTAAGTTGGATTTCAGCGAAGGCAAATCATCACCTATGTGGTGTCGGGGTGTCGTCCAGCTGTTCTGAGATGCCACATGTCATGATGTCAGTGGAGATTCAAATTTGCCCTCATCAATTGCCCCTACTCCCGAGCTGAGGTCAGCTCGGCAAAGGGAGTAGCTTGTTGCATGTCCTTTAGCTCGGAATGACTAATTCGATGAGGTCGTAGGCATTGGTCCAATTCGCTCTCCAAGTTGGAAGTCTTAAGGGTTAAATGCAGCCCTACACAGGACTTCGCCGTCTTGATTATCGGGGCACAGGAGCGAAGTCATCTGCTTGAGGAGAGGCGGAGCAGGCACCCCGAGGACATATAACTTACTAGGGATGCAATCGCCAAGGAGTTACACAATTCGACTAAATACCTCAAGAGCGAAGTTCGTCATGTTGTCATCACGAGGGGCTTCCAACTACGTGACTGCCTCGTCAGGTCGCTCAACTTACGTAGCCTACAATGCAATGTCCCTCACGCCGATCCTCGAAGGAGTAGCCGACAAGGTCGATACAAAGCCTAAAACCGAGGTGGAGGATGACTGTGAAGAAACCGGCCAAGTTTGCATGTCTACTGCAGTGTTGAAAGCGAACTAATCTTCCTTTCTTCAGTTTCTCTTTTTTTTCTCTTCTTTTTTTTCAGGTCGGCGATGAGATGTCGACGTCCTTTGAGGTCGATTTAAGCGTAGTGGTGGCAATGCTGCCGAGCTAGATAGATGGGGAGGCAACCTGATTAGATCGGTCTACCCATTGTCGTCGTGTTTCGAGGTCAGCTTGAGGGGGCTTTAGCTAAAAAGCGGTATGGCTTTCCCTTAGAGCTCAATTTGACCAGGTCACCAAAGCGGATGGTCATTCTGTAACTTTAAATATGGCTGCATCTATGCCATCACATGGGATTGGCTCTCCCGGGTCTACGCTTGTGGGTCAATGCCATACATGTTCTGCACTTACTCCTGAACTGCTAACCGCCCACTTCTGCTGGAGCCATGGGGGGCTCACATTGAGGGGGTGGCTCTGCTTTTTGCGGGTTGCCTACTCTAATGGGAACCATAAAAGGTTTGACCTGTGAGGCTGGTTCCTCATTCAGTTAACTGCCAACTCTCACAGAAGCCATGAAGGGCTCAATCAGTAGTGAGGCTTCGCAATTCGAGCTGGGAGACAATCTGGGCCAGATCGTTGAAGCTTGCCCAGGCTAGTGGTTCAGATTCTGCCCTTGTGATAGCTTTGTCGATACGTGCATTGCTGCTGGCGTTGGATGGTAGGTCAGTGCCATGGCTGCTCCACAACATTTCTCGGAGACGCTGGCCATCTACTCCTACGATAAGCCACAAGGAGCTCGACCTGCGGGGGCAGCTACTAACTGTAGGTCACCAACTTGCATGGGAACCTTGAAAGGCTTGACCCACAAGGGTGACCGCATAGTCCGTTGGCCGCCGACTCCCGCGGGAGCCATGAAGGGCTCGACCTGTAGAGGCAACCTTGCGAAATAGAGCTAACGAGGCTCGTCCGGGCTGATTACTATTGAGTGCGAATATAGAATGGGTTGAGGTCGGCAGGGCAATTCCATAATCTGTTAGCCATCAACTCCCACGGGAACCACAAAGGGCTCGACCTATGGGGGCGGCCTCACTTCGGGGTGCTTGTCGTCGGTCCGCTAGTTGTTCAGGTCGTTCTGCTGTTGATTGTTCCGCTGTTATTGGTTGTTTTGTGGCAGCATGAATGCACCAAGCTAGGACTCCAATTAGTCGGCGGAGGTAGGTTGTCAGGTCGGATTTCAGCCAAGGAAAATCATTGCCTACGTGGTGCTAGGGTGTCGCCTAGTTGTTCTGAGATGCCACATGTCACGATGTCAGTGGAAGGCCAAATCTGCCCTCATCACATGCTATTAATAAATTAAACTAGAAAAGATCAAGATAGTATATGTTGTCAATAAAATGAACTAGCGATGTCTATAGATTTTATACAATGAATAAAATGATTTAAAAATAACTTCTTGAGACTTGAATGTATAGTAAAATTACAACATTCAGACCAATTTTATTAATAAATGCACATTAGTTTTATATAGATATTTACATATATTATATTTTAAGTATTTTTGGATTCAAATTGAATCATATCGAATTGGGGTGAGTCCATATTTGATTCAGTTATAAACAAATTGAATTGGATCATCTTAAATCAGATTGGATTTGAACTTGAATTTGGATTAACAGATACTGTTTGCAGCCCTACCGTCAGGTGTTTGCATTCCCTTTAGAATTATTTAAGTCCATGATTCACAAGATCCTGTGGATATCAGCCAACTAATATACAGTGTTTATATCATAAAAGTGGCAATATATTCTCTTGAGCCTACCGTTTAATCATTGAGAGAAAACTTATAGAAACAGAATCACAAATTTGTTGACATGTTTACTGATTAAAGGACTACTCATGCTTGGGTATTCAGAGTTAAGACTATGAAGGAGGGTTAGTGCATCAACCTTGCATGGTTTGAAGTTGGATGGACGAACAATTCTTTATATCAAGCTTGCAACTGAGCCAGTAGCCATGAGGATCAGCAACACCTGGAACCAAAATGTTCCTTATCTGGAATTAAAATAGGGACTGGAATTAAACGTTCTGAATTTGTGTCTTATTGAGTGAAATAGAGGATGTATAAACACGTTGGAAAGAATTTCATGATACATGATGTGTACACAAAATACAGCTAGGGAAGCTTTTACCTGCCATGAATCATAGGCTGCATTTAGTAGAAAAAGTGGTGTACGTATACCATGCACTATGTATTGTGGGAAAAAACACTGCAGTTTTGTTCAGATGCATCAGAAAATTAAACTAAGGAGATAATGTTGAAATATGAGTTTCAAAAAATAAAAACAACAGAAAAAGAAATGCAATTAGAAGATATGTACTTACCATACTTGGTTTCATTGTTGAAGTGCAATATGTGGGCAAATTCTTTACTGATCCCTGGACAATTTGTGGACATAAACTGAGCGTTAAAGTAATAGAATCATGATAGGACAATTCATCTCCCTTTCAGACCATAAATGATTTAGTTAAAGGAAAGATATGTGATTTTCCACTCACTGAATCATCAAATGAATGTATCAAGGTTGAAAATGGAAATATAAGTGTAAGAGGAGTAGTGGAACAAATAATCTGGGGTTGAGAAAAATTATTTATTTTATTATCTACACTTTCATCCTTGTCCATTTGGGTCTTCAAAGGGGAAAAAAGGAGACTTCTTTATGTAAATGAGAAAAATCAAAGGGTCATACTTTAACCCAATATATGCATGACTATGATGCAAGACACGTTTAATAAGTATACAAGCATCAGAAGAGTAAAGGATAAAACAATTTCAATACCAAACATGAACCCTTTGATTTTTTATACCATTGAAGACCACCAAAACAGATGGCTTTCATAAAATACATCCAACATAATTTTCACCATTGAGCGATTGCTTGGTGCAATGGTAAAATCTCCATCTGACAATCATGTAAACATGGGTTTGAGCCTTGATTGGCCACTTTGTGCCAAAAAACGGCAGCCTGGTGCACGAGGCTCGGACCAATGCCCGGGTCTGGGGAGGGACAGATATGCAGCTTTACCCTGTAGGTAAGGAGAGGTTGTTTCCAAGATTTGAGCCCTGGTCACCCAGGTCGCAATGGAGCAACCCAATCGTTAAGTCAAGGCCCACTCTCTTGTGCCAAAATAAAAGAAAGAAAATACTGGAGGTCAGGTTATTATCTAGTCTCCCCCTCCAGATGGCTAGGACCAACATTTGGTGAAATATACTTTTGTTCTCATGAAAAGAGACCATATTAATCAATGTAAAGGAGAAGAAAACATACATGGGTTGTCACCACATCATTAAAGTAGGATTTTATGTGTTCTCTTCCAGATATTTCTTTCCTGTCATACAGTAACATTGGTTTTATGTTATGTTATCCTTTTCTATATAGTTTCAGAAATAAGATAGGTAAAATGTACTAATTAGGAACTTACAAATTGACAAAATATCCAGCATCAGCAAGGCATTTTACTTTGGTACCTATAGATAGGAGTGCATGGAAGCTGTCACAATGGAGAATGGAGGCCAAGCCACCAGCTGAACAGCCAGAAAGAAGAGCCTATGACCAATTATTTGAATTATTAAGATGATGGCATTAAACATAGAAAAAATAGAAATGCAGATGAAAATTTCAAGTTGTAATACATATTCAGCATTTTTCATCCCCTTCTTTAGCAGGTCCTCTATAACAGCAAGCCAAATCCTTGCTCCTCTGTAGTGAAGATTGGTGACCTGATCAATTGGTGGCCAAAACAAAGAAAATCATAGTAAAATATTCACCTGTTTAGATACTTTTAAAATTGAACATTTAACTCTAACCAAAACCAAAAGACTCACTGGATCTACTTTCTCCAAATCTCCGGTAAATGATGCTCCATCACAGTACCGGACCTTGATTCTATTCCAATTATAGAAATCTGGATATTGAAATTCAACTCTAAGTCATTTCACAAGAAAGGAGTTACATAGAGAATAGAGTTGCATATAGGTCCAAAGATATGAAAATTTAGTTCAAGTAGAGAGTAAACCCAATAAATCACAAATTTGACCTGGGTTAAATTGCTTATTGTTGCTCAGAATCCCAGAGAATGCAATTTCTGTTACCATTTTCTTAGAGGAACCTAAATGGGTGTTCTTGCGGAAAAGACAAGTTGTAACATTGGTACACCATCCTCCACCCTGTGGAAGGAAAGAAAAGGATTAAAACAACAAAAATAAAAGAGCAAAATAATAAGAAAAAGGACCCAGAAAGCAAGGACTTACAGCACTTCCTGCAAAGTCAGTGGAGAAATAGAAATAACTTTAAAAAATGTCATAGATATTCAACAAATATACCTTACCCAGACGTACAGAGAGAGTTAAACATGCAGAATTCATAAATAACAACCAAAGAGAAAATTATCAATTTAGTTCTGTGATATTCTAACGAAATCTATTACAGAGATTTGGTGTCTTAATGATTTACAGCAAATCCATTTAAACTGAACAAAAGTTCCAACTGACTGAACCGAGGTTTAAAATGCTTGATGATAAATCATAGACATCCTAAGGGATAATACCAAACAATACAGATTAGGCTTCATGACAAATGAATCATCTGGCACATGACAAAACACTAAGGAAAGAAAAATATAAGGACTGACCTCAATGTGAACCAGCCAATTGTTAATTCCTGAGCCAAATCCTTTATCTAAATGGTATGCTGGAGGACTACCATCCAAACAAACTGCAAAGAATTGTGAACTTCAAGGTAAAATATAGTAACAACCAAAGAGAGGGAAAAATTCTCTAGGAGTTCAATCCCTTTGCCTATTACCACTGAAGGGCTGGAAAGGAGAGAGAAAAAGAAAAGAAAAGCATTAATAAAGTTATTACCTGCACCCTTAGCTACAGAAGATTTAATGTAAGTAATCTGCACATATAACCCATTCACCTTCAATGTGATCAGTATACAGATTATAAGTTTCCGCCATGATCTTGCATAGACCATTCTGTGCATGCCAATTGAAGTCAAAACAGGGGAGATACTACGAAATGCAAAGTATGCACATTTCAAATAAGCAATGGAGAAAAAAAAGCGATCATTAAATGTTACTCCTAAACCTACTCTTTCACTCATGTAGCTTTTTCCCCAAAACACTGGGGGGGTGGGGGCTTTTTAGTTTTTACCATTTTATCAATAGAGAAAAAGTATGAAGCTTTCCACCCTAAGCCATCTACAATACCAAAAGCTCTATAAAACTAAAATTAACTGCATTCAACCCATTATGCTTTTAAGTTTGGCCTTCCACCCAGGGTATCTCCCCCTTCAATGCACCAAACAGTTAAAGAATAAACAGGGAAACAAAGGAAGGGTAAATCAAAATTGACAATTAAAGAATTCCAACAAGTTTTCTTTCCAGGACAAAGAAGCAGGGAACCTTTCTTTCCAATATCGCTTTTTCTCCAATTTGGCAATAAAATATACAGACAGGGAAATTTTCAGTACAATGAAGTTCTACGATTTGTTGCATTGTACACAAAACCCCTCACTTCAACAAATTAAAATGCACACAATACCAATAACCAACACCTGCATATCCTTTAACTGAACCCATTAAATTAAACCAGATTATCTAATTTTTCAAACCCATTATTTCCTCCATTAAGAACTACTCAACTGAAACGCCAAACAAGCTTCTCGAACCTATACCAATAAACAACAACAAAAAACAATGAAAAAAAAAAACAAAGTTGTACCTGAAAGAAAAAGAGAGACCTGCAAGGAGGGAGTATGCAGAGCAGTTTCACTGGTTTGAATCTGGCACTAAATCCAGCTTACTAATGCGTTTTCAAACAGGAACAACTCAACACACTGAGAAGTTTTGCCTGAAGAAACCATAAAATTTAATTTCTCAGTAGTCGCACCTGCAGGTTATAAGCAGAGAACCCAAGAGCAGGCACTGATTCGCTTCGATTTCCGAACCACCATAAATTTGTTATTCAAATGAAAAACAAATTAATCTTCTAAAACCAGAAGCCAACCAAACTCTCGTTCTACGCGCCTGCAATGAATGGAGAGAGTGTTATTGGAGAGAGAGAGAATGAAGCGGTAACGACTTGCATGGAGAGAGTGGCTGATGATTGGAGTGGGACTACTGTCGAATTCATATTGGACGGTGATGTATCTTCTGGGACCCACGAAATGGCTTCTCGTAATTCGCAGATAACCGCAGCGCACACCGTCATTTAGTTGTAACTGAAACCCAATGAGGGGAGAGAGAGAGATTATGCTGTTCACGTGGATTTGAGTGATGTAGAAAGTCAGGGTTTATGTGTTGTTTACTTGTTTTTTGGTAGAAGGTGTGCTTCTTGTTGTTTTTCATCTGATTGTCAGAAATACACTGAATGTTTTGTTTAAATGACATGTGCATCCTTTACGTTTGTTTGGGGAGACTGGATCTTTTGTCCACACAAACTCTGCTCACGTCTATCTACAACATCGCAGCCATACAAAAAAAAATATCTCATCCTTGATGTTATCAATTGATGGAGATAGTATATTATGGGTACGTGAACAGATGATCGGGAGTCTTGTTTGGGCCTGTTTGGGAGGGCCTCTGTGTTTTGATTGAGCTGCTATAGAGAATTGGACATGGTTGAGCGTGCGTGCGTGTTACTAATAAGCTACTGGAACTGGAGTAACTTCGCTGAAACCTACCCACATGGCACTACAGGCTTGGACTGAAATCAAACTCATAAATTTCTGGGCAGGGCCTCACACACACACATATTCAATCCCAGTCCCACCTAGCTCATGATGACCCCTAATTTGATCTCAAGTGTGAAGTGTCTGCTAAAACCAACCAGAATACTTACCAGTTACCAGCTAGGCCACCATCGTTGATTACAACATTGTGGCAGATGAGGAAACTCAGCAAACTTACACAGCATTGGACTTTGGCCCATTCAAATTTTTAACAAATGATCAACCTGAACCCACCCATGAAACGAATATAGGACCATTTAGATATAGAATGAAGTATAGAGTGTTGTTTGATATGAGTGGAGAGGTCCAGCTCTATTTCAAAACTGCCTTGTGGAAAACAAAATAAGGTAAATTTTGTTTTGGGTTTTACTTTATTTTATTTCAGATCTTATTTTTATTCCATTTGTATGGCAATCATTAAACAAAATAAGGTAAATTTTGAAACAAAAATAAATCATAATTTGTATTGAAATCATTTGTACTACCATGGCTTTGCATCAGTGCAAATAAATTTGCATTGCAACCAAGCATAGATTAAGGTTATATTTGCAAATCGCAAGCACAAAAGAAATTAGTTTGACCTAAAAATTATCTTTTTTCTTTCTTTTTGGATAAATTATAGATAGGTACCCCATACTTTGGGGGTAGTGACAGATAGGTTTACTTGAGTACCCTGAACCAATGTTTTCAAACCGCCATTGACCCGAATGGTCGGACCGTTCGACCCGAGAATCATTTAGGCAACCGGTTTCATTTTACCCAAAACCTAGAATCTAATAAAAAACCGTTGACCCGAGCGATGGAAATGTTGACCCGTCGACGGTTTTTAACCATTTTTTTATTTTTTTAATTATTTTATTTTTTTTTTAATTTTGCTATCAGAATGGCCCATCCTTTCGAACTGGACGGTCGGACCATTGACCCGAAAACCGGTGGCCAGAATGGTTCCATTTCCAGGTCATTTTTTAAAACGTTGCCTTAAACTCTCAAAAATAGACACTTGGGTCCATCCATTAGTATTCCGCCAGTTAAACATTACATAATGCCAAAAATACCTTTATCAAAAATGGTATTTCTTAGATTATATAATGTTTAACTGATGAAATACTAACAGATCAACCCAAGTGTCTATTTTTGAAAGATTAGAGTACTTAAGTGTTGTAATTGAAAATTGCTAACAACAACCGCATCAAAACTGCAACCCAAGTTTTCATTTTAGCCGTTGGGTTTAAAATTGCTAACAATCATGGCTCTCTCATACGTAAACAACTAACCTTCACCGTCGGTGCGTTTAAAATTTGATTATGCGGGCCGGGAACTAATTAGTTCCCGTTTGTGACGGATTTTATGTTTGGGGTGAGCTATGTTAACTGTGCCACTTTCTTTGGATATTTGTAAGGCTGCAATTGAATTGAGCTTGGGTTGAATTCGATTAAGTTCGGTTCAAATTCGATTCTAATCAAGTTTGAGTTTTAAGTCAAATTTGATTAATTATTCGAACTTGAATTCAACTAATAAAAAGATTGACTCGAGAAACTCGTGATTTATAATCCATATAATATAAGATTATATTATATATTTATCAAATATTAAAATATATTCATATTTTTAGGTTTTTAAATTGAATTCGAATTCAAACTCATCAAATATTTAATCAAACTAAGATCTAATCAGAAAATAGAGTTCGAATCAAACTGGAACTCAAATTTGAATTTAACAATATTTTAGTTGAATGGAACCAATACATATAAAAGTTTAGCTCAGCTCAAATGCACTCCTAGGCACCTATGTTCCAAATAAGCTATCAAGAATAGCTTCATGTTATAGTCACCATTTTGACATTTAAAACACTCATATGACTTTTTAGATTTTCACCAAACATAAAACTTTAGAGCAAAGATTTTAAAACTGAATTAGACAATGAATTGGTCAGGGATCCGGTTCTCAAGTCGAATGGTCCGATCGTTTGAACCAAACAGATGGTCTGTTTTGACAAAAAATTAAGAAAATTAAAAAATGATTAAAATCATTGGACGGTTCGAACACCCAGGTTAGTGGTTTACTGACCAAATCAACAGGTTTTTTTAGCGAAATAACAATTTTGGAGTAAAATGGCGAACCAATCACCCGACCGGTTCTCAATTTTTCCGATCTGACTGTCTGGTCTGATCCGATTTTGAAAACCATGCTTTAGAGGTTTTAGTATAGAGCCCGGCTCAAAATACTAGAAGTTGCACCATAAAAGCCCTCCCAAACGAGCACTTGGATTTTTATGGTTTTATGCTTGGATAAACTGTTGGATTTATGCTTTCAAAGACCCAAAGAAAAATGTCCAATTTTGTGTTTTGGGGCTTAAAACGTGCTTGGACTACATATTATTGTATTTTCTAAAAGCAATGCTTAGCAAACCTTTAAAACAGTTTTTTTTTTTTCATTTTTGTTTTTCACTGCCCAATGTTAGAAAACAAAATCTTATCCAAACAAAGCCTAATTGCCATGGATCTCCTTTCTTTTAGTTTTTCGTTCAGTGCATTAACCCTAATTAGCAGGATTAAATGATAGAGATTTAGAACTTGATTGTGTATTAAGGTAGTACACAAACAATTATGGGACCAACTATATAAAATAGTGTTAGTGTTCTGTAATTCCAGCAAAGAAATTGTAATTTATATTTTCACGGTTTGATTTCCTTATGCAGCCTCCTAAGTCGACATTGCAGGACAAAGGCATAATCATGATTTTCTTAATTGAACCCTAGCTTGTTAGTTGTTAGTAGCCAATTTAATTTTAGGGGTGTAAATGGATCGGGCTTGGATTTGACCCAATTCGAATCAAAACCATTTCAATCGGTTTGGAGGGTCCAAAATGTTGTATTGGGTTCGACCCAGTATATTAACGGACCAAAGTGAATATATCCATGGACTCAAATGTCTGTTCAATCGATCGAATTATTTTTACAATTTTGAATCGGATTGAACCCTCTGTTTATTAAATTTAGATTGAATCTGGTTTGGACTGTCCATCATTGGACACATATTGGATTGAATCGGGTTGGACCATAACCTGGTCAACTCCGAGCCACCATGTCCTAGGCCTCCAAATATGTCCACTGTAATGGCCTCACATCAAGATGACCATCTCAAAATTTTAGTTAATTTATTTTCTCTCTCTCTCTCATCACGTGCATTTGTGCACGCCAATCAGCTAGTTTATATTAATTTTGGTACTCCCTTGAATATGAAATTATGGACAATGAATGTGAAGTAGTGGCAAAACTGAACCAGTTTAAAATGTGTCAAAAGTACTCATCCGTTTTCTTTACTTATTTATCAGAATGAAACAAATTAACCTTAGAAAAGGATGGCTTATATACTATTTTAAAACAAAGGAATAAAAAAAAAATGAGGA